ACCATCCAGTTACATGCTGACGGAGGTCAGTGAAGAGAATCCCTGGATGAGTACACGTCACAGGCAGGCAGGAGGCTTCTGCCCTGCAGAGGGATATAGTTGGTGGAAAGAACCACTTGCATAGTCACAGGTGGGCAACAGTGCTGCCCCATGCCAGGGTAAAGACTGCACTGATATGGTCCTTTTATCTTTGGGAGGGGCTCACTCCTTTGTTGAAGTCCCTGTTTGCTCTTGATTTTGGATAACTATGTGGGATCATAAAGGGACCTGAGATTTCACAATGGGTCCAATCTCTTTACCCTCAGGTCTGTGTTCCAACACTCCCTAAAGCAGTCTAATACAGCAGTCTGATACCTATTTGGCTTGTATGCCTTATGATAAGGGACTGAGTGTATTGATTTGTATGGCTTGCTTAATGGTCATCTTAATCCCTTCTATGCCCACCTCCTTGTGTGAGTCAGGTTTTAACCTTGTGTTGTCTCCTTCAGATTTTCTATTCTTTCCTCCATCACTTACTTTCATGGTTTAGTTGTGGAAGTAGTTTAAGATATAAAATAAAGCATCAACTTATACTATCAGGGAAGACACGGTATAAAAGTTTAAAGTGTTTAATGAGCATATAAAATCCTGATGACTAGTTAGTGAAGGAATGGCAAGTCTTAAATTAGCATTCAAAGAAATTAATATGGAAGTGGAATATGTTGGAGAGGAAGAGTTAGGAAGGCCAGATGTGATGCAGATGCAGTACTCCAGATGGAAGTGACTCTTGGAATAATGTTCAGAAGAGTTGGGGAAGGAATGGGTTTAGTAGATTTAGGGAAGGAAAATACGTAGAATTTCTTCATGGACCATATAGGGTAGACATAATACTTGAGTTGCATTAAACATGGGCAATTGTAGTTTTCTCATCTTTGTGAAGTACCACTTAGGTGTTTTACAGGAGACCAAAATAAGAGGTTCAAATCACAACCAGGGTCAACCAACTTGATATTGTGGAGTCTCATTAATTTTCCTGTTGTGGGCTATGTAATGTCATTTTCTGCTGCTAAGCAGTTTTTGAAAAGCAAATTGGTTAATGATACAAAGTCGAATCCTATCTTGCTACCAAAGCTGCTGCAATCAATAATTAATGATAACTAGTATGTATTTTTTATTATCTAAAGTCAATTTACTAAGTATGCCCCAGTATAGAAAAAAAAAGATATTGCAGAACAAGTAAGACTCATTTACATCTATAAACTGTAAATAACACTAGGTAGGACAGAGGCTTGGGCAACACTATCTGGTTGTAAATAGCATGCAAATGTTAGGGAGAAAAGATGTCAAAAAGGAACTCTGCATTTTTCTGGACTACATCCTCTACTCAGCTTTTCACCCTGTGTTGCCCTGTAACACGGTGAGATAGCTTCTGAGCTGGACCATGGAGGATGGGTAACAACTTTGCTGGTGAAAATGAGAAATAAAAAAATATAAAAGACAAGGTAGCCAGAAAAAGCAAGGTAAAGGGTAAAGATTTGATAGAGCTAAATCTGCCAATAGGCTGAGAAGAGTGCGAAGTTATTTATTTTTCTTGGCACAGTAGATTGGCAAAGCAGGTCAGAGCTACTTGTGTCCCCACCACGTATTGTTTCCAACGTTATTTTTTAAACGTCAAATTTCAGAATAGTTTCAAAAGTAAGTCCCTTGTGCCCTTCTCACCACTTGTTAGTAATGTTACATCTATCCCTGTAACCTTTTTTTTTTTTTTAAGATTTATTTATTTGTGCATACAGAACTGGGATACAGGCCAGAGGCTCAGGGGTG